GCCCTCTGGCTGCTATAACCCATTTTTCTCGGCAGAAATAAAACAATCTCTTAGGAATGGATTGAAAGCAGCATATAAATTAAAATGATCAGATGACTTAAAACAAGTCCCAGATTGGAGTTCTTTGGGGAGATGCGACTGGAGGTTGGTTACACGCAGTAAGGCAATCGGAATTCAATCCGTCAAGCAGCAGAATCAAGATTTGTACACAGAATTTCACAGTGCTAATATGAACTTTAGGGAGGAAGAGAACCAACAGCCCTCTCTAATTTGCAGAGCAGAGTAACAGAAGAATTAATAAGAAACAAATATGAAAAGTGTATAGGGTCGGAAGAACGGGACAAATTCACTGGGAAATTTTACCACCGGAGCTCCCAATAGCTCTGTGCTCTGTCATTAAAGGGCAACCACTGCATTTCCATCACGTCAGCTGAGTTCCCGCTGCCCCATTGGGTCTCTTGATGAAAAGAGTGGGGCAGCTGGAGAGAAGGAGAAGCTTGGCATTGGGGCAGCTGGGGTTTATAAAATGGGAAACCACAAGGCTTACATGTCACGACAAGAACTACAGCTAGAAGACAATCCATCTTGGAATGAAGGACCTCGTGGAATTCAAACCCAATAAATGCCTCATGAGATGGATGGGGCAACCAAAGTGCTCTTACACAGAGGCCTGAGCTTCAGAAGCATGGTTGCAGTGCTATTCCCATTGAGAAGGGAGCGAAGGGCAGTCCCACAATGAAGTCATTTGTTCCGGAAGCAGGAACAGCTGACAAGTGGCTATGAGTCACAGCTTCTCAACTGTTTTTCCCCCTCTGCATGATGCTGAACCATGCTATTGGGAAAACAGAGATCCAAGAATGGCTCTCTGGAGTGGAACTCTTCCAGGCAGACCCAGAATTAGAATTTTACACACTTAGGTGGCAGAAATGCAGAATGCAAGTGAAAAGGAGGAGGAGGAGGAGGAGGAGGAGGAGGAGGAGGAGGAGGAGGAGGAGGAGGAAGGCAAAAGGGCCGGAGGGGCTCTAGTGTATTTGGGTACCAGGTTGATCAATCAATTGCCCAGGACCTGAAAAAGAGGGCTCTTGCCACCCTCAGGCTAGCATCCTAACTAGCACCTAACAGTTGGCTAGAGTAGACCCATTCAAAAATTGTGGAATAGAGTCAATATGTAGGTAAATCCAGTTAATTCAATGGGTCTACTCTAGTGAAGACTAACAACAGAATTTAGACCTAAATCTATTAGTACTGAAGAAGCCAGAAGATTCTGTGTTGTGTTTGCTGTAACAGATGGTTGTAGCTATTTTAGAATTTTTAGAATTTAGCTCTTTTGTTGTTCTTGAAATCCCTGATTCCAGTCACCATTCGGTTAACAGATTACAGAAACGCTAAAATTCCTAAAGGGGCAGGTGCTGATCCCACTCCAGCTATCCTATGGGCTTAGAAGGATATTTGCACAGCTCCACATAATCTGAGGGAAAGGCTACAGCCTACCTGGCAGCACAGGGTGCTGGGGGCCTCTCTCCTCTGGTGGGGTGATAGATGGTCTAAGGAGCCATATGGACTGCCTCTAAGGTGCGGCTCCATGCCACGCCTGGGAACACAGGATCGGGGCCGCGGCAACCACACACCGCAGCCCCAATCCAGCTCTTTGCTGCTCCAAAAAGAGCTGGCAAATGCCACTCCTTTTTGCAGCAGCAAAGAGCCGCCCTTACAGCCACCACGGCTCTTCTGCACCCCTTTAGCACAGCGTGTCTAAATGCTGAGCCAAGGGAGCACCCTGACGCCTCACGCCGTGTAATCGGGTGCATGGTGTGACAGCGGCATCAGGGCAGAGTTGGGCGGCCAGCGTGTGGTCATCCTGCCCCACCTCCACCCCCAGGCCAGCCCTTGTAGCTGGTCTGTACAGGCCCTATGAGTTACTGCCCAGCATAGCCAAGACGCCCGTCAGAGCTGTGCAAGGACTCACCAGTGCTTGTGTGAGAGGCCTGTCCCTTGACTACCAGGCTAGCCTTCCTCATTTGCCCATGCATTTTGTAGGAGAGAAAGAGAGACAAAATAGGCATTTATCATCTTCAGCCCCTTGGTTCATAAAAGGCAGTTCAGGGACACCAGAAACCAACTGAGGGCCATTTCTCCTGGCCCTTTAGTCAGGGGCAGGGCATTGTTTTGACCCTAGAGACTGAATTTCCCTTCCAGGCCAAGACCAGACTGGTGCTGCATGATGTCTCAGGAGGCTCCCAACAAAAGCCTGAACCCCACTGTCTTCTGGCCCTGCTCTGTTACCCCTTTTCACTTTCTCCATGCAGAGAGATGTGCTGATGGCTTCCAGATCTTTAAATCAATAGAAGTATAGTGTCTAGATCAAAGGAAGTAATAGTGCCACTGTATTCTGCCTTGGTCAGGCCCCACATGGAATCCTGTATCCAGTTCTGGGCACCACAATTCAAAAAGGATGTGG